AATCTATTTTCATTGTTTAGTTACTATTTTTTCCATGGCTTGAAATTGAGATTGAACTAATACCGAACTGAACATGAATAAACCGAATTAAACTAAAATGATTACGATATGGTTTTGATTATTAAAATCACAAATCGAAAATCAAATAACTCGAACCAAACTTCTACAAAATCGAACTGGCCGACGTTCATCCCTAAGTTCGCCGGTGATGGCATTTGCCAGCCGAGTAAAATACTGTATACATTATAGTAAAATTAAAAATAGAGACGAACAAAAACCCGGTCCTCAAATCTTCTCCGGCGTAGCCATGGCCAGATTTGTTCGCCTAAGAGTATGAGCCAATGGCGAAGGATTACACGGACGATTCTGACACTGACGGCAATTCTGACGACGACCACGATGATGCCGCCGACGATTCAGCTAATTTGAGGGAGAAGAGAGAGGATTGAGAATCTTACAAATAGAGAGAGGGGGAGAGAGAGAGAGAGACTATAATTGGCATATTTCATGCCTCAATGATCGGTATAAATAAATACTTATTTTGCTATAAAATAAAATAAAAAAGCTATAAATAATAATATTTTGAAATTATTTCGATTTATCAAATAGGGTGTAATAATTTGCTATAGGAGGTAAATTTTTGAAAAAGCTCCTTGCAATAATAAATAGATAAGTTCGTTTTCTTGTTGTAAGTTTATTATGTAATCACTATTTCGCAAAACACTTTCCATGCAATTATTATCTTACAATATAATTACTTTAGCTAATTAATTGATGCATGTGTTGGTGAACAGTCAATGCTACAAGTCAGGTAGCACAAGAGCATCAAGTTCTGCTGCTAGTCAACTAACTTGAAGGCCAAGATTTAGTTGTTTAATTTAATTATTTTTGGGAGAAATAAAAGATTCCTTTTGGTACAATGTTTATTTAATTGAATTCTTCTTCAATAGCCTTTAGAAAGCTTACATTGAAATCCTCCATAATTTAGCATTTTTTTCTCTACATATATCTTTCATATTCGTTGACATTTTATCAAGTCTTTGTTGTATATTACTACTCCTATCATTTATCAACATAATAAGGTTTAGCTTAAAGATTGTTTCATTAATTATTTGTATCTTTCGTTAGCATCTACTGTTGGGTGTGCGAACAACGTCTCATATTGATAGCTGAAAAGATTGGGACCTTACATATAAGGTGTAGGGATCTATTAATAGGGTGAGTCTCTTGGGGAATCGCGTGGGTTTGGCCCAAAGCGGACAATATCACACCATGTAAAGAGTATCTTTGGGCTGTTTTAGTCCAACAACTGATATCAGAGCCCAGCTTCGGCAGAACGAGTATGGAGATAGCAAAGTGATGGTGCAAGACGGTACGCATACAAGAAGAAGCTAGTTGCGGGCTTCGATGCCATAATACTCTAACAATGTGGGTGACACATAGTGAATCGTGAAAAGAGAATCGTAGTAGTGAACCACATAAAACTTAGTTCGACGGAGAGATTGTTGGGTGTGCGAACAAAGTCTAACATTGGTAGTTGAAAAGATTAGGAGCCTACATATAAAATGTAGGAATCTATTAATAAGGTGGGGATCTTTTGGGAAAAATTATGCAAGCTTTGTCCAAAATGAACAATATCACACCATGTTAAAACTATATTCAGGTTGTTTTAATCCAACAGCTGCAGTTGGTGACATGAAAATATTTTATTATAAGACAAACGACGGAAATGGAATGCGCAAGAGTTAAATGTATTTTGTTTTGGACATTATATTTTGATTATACTGAATATTTGACATATGCACTAATATATTAGATGGCTAATTAATTCTCAGAAACATAGCAGAATGTTCCGATTTATGCTCAATTAAAATTTTCATATGTAAGAGAGTCAACAATGTGGGAAAAAGAGCCTGCAATCTCGAGTTCCAAATTAATAGTGTCAAATATTCAAAGATTCCATTTTAAAAAATCCCTTTATTTATTTATTTATTTATTTTTAGGTCGAAATGGAAATACTTTTATTCAATCAAATAAGCATATCATGTTTCTTTATAATTTAAAAAGAAAAAGTTAAAGGATTATTTTGGAGAAAGACCGTTACTTTTGGCTTTTCATTGTTCGATTTATGTTGATTTTATCGCACAATATCTTTTATAAAATCTTTTTAGTTTTTAGTAAGGAAAAGTCAGAAATTTCTTAGCAGCCGCGGGCATCACTCTTTGACTGAGTGACCAATAAGTCATGCATTAAAAACTCTTACTTTTCTTACCTAAGTGGCTTGTCTTTCTATAACCACTCAGCAAGAAAGTTGGAAAAATAATATTATATAGCTACAATGAAAATAACAGTCGCGATATATATATATATATATATATATATATTTATTTATTTATTTTTATATATTATATATAAAAAATATATTATGAACTTATAAGTTTTTCATTTGATTACTTGTACTTGATAAAATGAATGCCAATAAACATTTCTAACCATTGAATATATTAGTTTGGACGGCGAGCTAAAATAATCTTTGCCCAAGAAAGTTTTTATAAGGGGCCATTTTATGAAGAAAAAAAAAAGTATTGATATACTACGAACCAAATCAATAATAACATGACATAATACGTAGTTTAAATATATTTTTAGCATTAAATTAAGATTATTTAATATGCTTTCACTTTAATTTATTACTTAATCATGATAAAAATTATGTGATTTTGTATAAATATGGAGTATGAATTTTTTTTTCTATTATATATACCTCTAAACACTTTCTAGGATTCCCCTTTTCTTCCCTCTCCCTCTCCTTTTTGTTTGCTATTACAGATTTGACTTTTTGTGTGTGATATCTACCTTTTTCTTGACAATTGCTTTCTGGGGTTCTTGAATTGGGTCCCAATTTAATTAAAGTCATCGTCCTAAATATGTATGTATAAACTTTCTTGGCTAAAGCTTTTTTCAAGATTTCAAATTTGGATTTAAGGGTAGGGGCCAGAATATCATAATTGTTTGATGTGAATACAAGATTGGAGATGCCCCCAACCCCACGTTTGGGTGGTTAGTGACTAATTATTTTTTTCAACTGTGGCTTGCATGTGCAATGAAGAACTATTGTTATCCTTTATCATTAAGAATGGATTAGCTTATCAAAAGCTTTAACCTTTTGAGAGCAATCACTTTATAAGAATACCATAAATTCTACTTTTGGATAGTCCTATCCCCATTAGGGGTATTTGAGCAGTCCGATACATAAAATACCTCGCGTTAATACAGGATCGGAAAAAAGGCCGTACTTTAAGATGTATGATACAGACAATTTACCTTAATACAAATATTAGTGGTTGTTTTCACGTTTCGAATCTCTGACCTATTATAGGTATAACAAAAAAAGAAAGAAAATAGAGTGAGCAAATCTTATAGTAGATAAATTATTTTGTAAATGGAATTTGTTTTTCAAGATAGCTAGGTAAAATCTAGTAATTTGGAACCAAAAGAATAGCAAGAAATTCCAACCTACAACCATGCTTCCTTAATATTTATCCACACTTTGTGTGTAAGTGAAGATTCATCTTCAAAGGGAAATGGCATCTTCCTTTGTCATTTCATCTTTAGTTAATTTCTATAACATTCTACCTAATTTGTTTGTCATCATTGAATATAATCAAGTGTTTGGTGTGAATCTCTTGAGCTGTTTTGATGATAACTTGTAAACACTTAAATTCTTTTAGGTTACCAAACAACTTTAAACATCAGTTCATCTATAAATTAGTATAGCAAAAAAGAAAGTACTCTTACTCTTTAAATACAGAAGCTAGTAGACTTTATATTCTTAATGGCTGAAACCTAATTAATACCTCTTTTATTGTTCAATCAATAACCTAGTATTGGAATTCAAGAATTATATACATTATTGATGTCAACATCAACTATTAAAACGAATAGCAAAATACAAAATTTTTAGTTTTTAAGTGGTTCGAGTCATAGCTATTCTTTCTGAAAGTCTACCCAAAGATTCATAATAAATGTGAAAAAAATGTGGAAAAAGGTTACCTAATGCCTAGGCTACCTAAAGATTCATAAATGTGAAATACTCTGCATATCTCCCTTCTACTCTACTACTTTTTTTTCCTTCTCATTTTTTCCCGTTGTATTGTGAAAAGAAATAAAAAGGTAGCTAATTGGAATTTAATGCACTGATATTGTAAATTTTTATAATATGCATTAATTTTTAATCTAGTTAGAATTGTAAGTAATTTACTATCATATGTTAAACTACATTGATAAATGATAATGTAAAAATTTATTACACTTTCGATCATTTCGATCAATGTACTAACTTAGTCATTTAACAAATAAAATACTAGTCAATTAATCATAGTTCCCAGAACTGTAGGTATGCAACTACTGAATTAGGATGGACCAATATAAAAATCACATCACACTAGTCATAGAGTCTTGGACGGTGGTCTGTTGCCACCTTAGAACCCCCACCCCACCCCCACCCCCCTCCACATAAAAAAAATAACCCATTCCACACTGTTAAGTTTACACCACAAATCATAACCAATAAAAAATATATGAAAATAAATAGTCAATAGATTTGAACCTATACCAAAAGTTTAGAAGATCTATGGCATCCCGCTGTAGGGTTCGAAGAAGGGTCATATGCCAAGGGTGTGATATAGACGACCTATTAATACACTTACTAACTGCTTTATGGTTCGAAATGATAATCTATAAGTCATAGGGAAATAACTTTTCCATTACTTTAGGAATCCTATAAAACACTTTAAATTATTTACTTGCCAACTATAGTTTTCTTATTGAAGGCAAAGAGACAACATTCACCACCTACGTACCTCAAAAGTCAGACTTTTTCTCCTCGTTTTCTTTAACAAAAAAATAAAAAGAGTTATTTAAACCTTAAGATACAACCCCTAAACACTTATAAATATGTTCACGCTTTCATTTGATGTACTCTTTTTCTCATACTTTTACCCTTTTCTCATAGGAACTTCAACTTATGTTCCTTCAAATTTTTTTAACATTTTTCTCTTTACCTTCCATAACATGCTCATGTGCATTCAAGATCCAAACATAACCATTTGTCCCTCTTTTGTCTTAAGAGAAAAAAAAACTATCTCATGGATCTGTTGAGACTAAAATACATTGAATCTATTTCACACATGAAAAGTCCTCCAACTTCTGCTTCAATCTTTGGTTCACCTTTACATTCTTCTTCTCATCATACTGGCTTTCCTATTATAGCAGTTGCTATTATTGGTATTTTGGCAACTGGTATTTTACTAGTTAGCTACTACATTTTTGTGATTAAATGTTGCTTGAATTGGCACCGGATTGATCTTCTAAGGCGATTTTCGTTCTCTAGAAATCGACGTGTTGAAGACCCTTTAATGGTTTACACACCAGGGTTGGAAAATCGAGGACTAGACGAATCAGTAATTCGATCAATTCCTGTCTTTAATTACAAGAAAAGGGAAGAAAAAGATGGTGCATTAGGTGAAAATGCAACAACTAGTTGTGAATGTGCTGTTTGTTTGAATGAGTTTCAAGAAAATGAGAAGCTAAGGATTATACCAAGTTGTGCACATATTTTCCACATTGATTGTATTGATGTTTGGCTTCAAAACAATGCAAATTGTCCACTTTGCAGAAATAGCATCTCTTCAACTGTTACAAATTTGTTCCCTTTGGATCCAATTATTGCTCCAAGTTCCACTCCTCAAGATCCAAATCTTGAAAATTTCAGAGATGAAAATTATGTTGTTATAGAAATATCAAACATTAGTCCAATTCCTACAAATCCATCATTAGTTAGAAATCAAGAAAGGGTGAATTCAAGAAGAAAAGGTAAGAAATTTAGCCATGTTACAAGTATGGGAGATGAATGCATTAACATTAGAAAGAAAGATGATGAATTTACAATTCAGCCTATAAGGAGATCTTTTTCAATGGATTCAGCGACGGATCGACAACTTTACGTAGCAATTCAAGAGATTATACAGCAACAAAGGCAAGTAATTGATTTTAGTTCCTCAGAAGGAAGCAGTAGTAGAGTTAAAAGATCATTTTTTTCATTTGGACATGGAAAAGGATCTAAAAATGCAGTTTTACCTATTCATTTAGAGTCATAATGAGGGTGAAAAAAATCAAACACCCCTTTTAGTTGGTTTTTTTATTGTAATTTTTTATGTATTTTGTTGGTGTAGAGATAGTGGAAAGTTAGTTGTGGATATTAAAGTAGTTTTACTGCAAGTTGAACTTTCTTGTTCAGTAGATTTGTTTGGTTTTTGGATTATTCATGTAGTATAAGATTACAAAGGCAGGACCACTTATGCAATGACTCATTGTTATGATTATAGGCATCATCACTTATAACCACCAATCTTCTTTTTTTGCCTTTTCTCATCTTTGGTTTAACTAATAGGTGTGACCTATAAATTGTCAAAGCAGTCACTAATTATTGTATTAGGATAAATTATTTATATCACATCCTATGAGTTACGGTTCTTTCTCGGGCTATACATGAATGCGGATATTTTACAATTTATGAGTTACGGTTCTTTCTCGGGCTATACATGAATGCGGATATTTTATGCACCACCCTCACCTTTGGTTTGAAGTTTTTCCCATGACAGCATTTGTCACTATCCTATACGTTTGATTCATTTATACTCTAGTCATTTGTAAATTGTCTATATTTATTCTTAGAGAAAAAGGTCCATAGTAATCTTTAACTTTTAAATCTAATATAAAATTATCTTCAAGCTGGAGCTCCATAAATATATCACTTCCCACAATATTAGGAAATAGGAGTAATTTACAAGAATGAAACTGAACAAGGACAGTACCCTTAAGTTGTTTCTTTTTCTTTTTCATTTGGGGTTGGAGGTGGGGGCCCCCTTGATGCAAAGTCACAACTATCAACCACCAAAAGGTTTCTTCTTTTATTTTCTTTTCCCTTTCTCTTAGGTCAATGGCAGGTCTGGTGTAGGTGTAAAATTTTGAATATTAGAGTGACACTATTTATAACCCGCAGTTCTTTTTCTTTTTAATTATTATATGGGGGAGAATAAAAAAAAAGAGAATAAGGCCTTTAGTGAGATTTGAACTGTGTAGCTAAGTGATGTTTAGTGAAATTGCAATACTAAATCCCAATCTTCACTTGCATTTTTTTGTTTCAAAATTGAAGTAAACTTAGATTCAAAAACATGAATAGTGGAATAATGGGTACATGGACCATGGCTCCATCATTGCTGTTGATTGAAAATAGAAAACTGAAGAGTCTAAAGTCTAGGAATCCAAAGTCATCTATTTGAAATTATATAGGGATGACAGATTTTCCATATCCTACAGAGTCAATAGTCAACACAGTCACTCCCTTCCAGCAAATTAAATAAAGAAAATTTGACACCTTATAAACCCATAATAGGAATTGGTAATCTTTTAGCCTTATATTAGATTTGGCTAAGATAACCCCAAACAATTGACATTATATAGTCAAATCCTAAAAAAAAACTACTCTCTTTAATAATTTCTCTCAAAAAAAAATTACAAGCTTACTTTGGCTTCCTTCCCCCTTTCTCTCCTTGTATTTCTTCTTCTATCTCTTCTCTTTTGCTCTCATAGTTTAGCAAAAATTCTTGCAAATTATGCAGAAAAAATCAGTGGGATGAAAATGTAAGATTGATCTCACATCAGAGAAAATCAGAAGCAAAAACTAAGAGAGAAAAAAAAATCAACTTTGTTTTTCTTCTCTCTTCTTTTTTCTATGGTTGGATTGAATGAATGGGTGTGATTGAAATTGATTGAAAATACCTAAACGAGGCTATATAATTAGCAAAAACTAAAAGAGAAAAAATATTAAATCAACTTTGTTTTTCTTCTCTCTTCCTTTTTTTGATTGTTTGAATGAGTGGGTTGTAACAACTCGGCTGGTCGTTTTAAGAATTAATGCCCCGATCCCCTATTAACTGCTTTTCCCGTGTTTGTTTTTGCTATTTTGATTTGCCGGGATGATTTGTTTCGAGTTTCAGAGTATTTTGGGACACATAGTCCCTAAATTTGGACCTTAGTCGGAGCAGTGTGAAGACGGCCTCAGAATGGAATTTTGTCAGTTCCGTTAGCTCCGTTGGGTGATTTCGTGCTTAGAGGCGTGTTCGGATTGTGTTTTGGAGGTCCGTAGCTCATTTAGACGTGAAATGCCGAAAGTTAAAATTTGGAAGTATCCGATTTGATAGTGAAATTTTGATATCGGGATCGGACTCCAATTCCGAGAGTTGGAGTAGCTCCGTAGTATTGAATATGACTTGTGTACAAAATTTGGGGTCAATCGGACTTGGTTTGGTTAGTTTTGTCATCAGATGTAGGATTCTTAAGATTTTTAGTTCATAAGGCTTGGATTGGAGAGTGATTTGTGGTTTTAGCATTGTTTAATGTGATTCGAGGGTTGAAATAAGTTCGTATGATATTTTAGGATTGGTTGGCATGTTTGGTGGAGGTCCCGGGGGCCTCGTGTAAGTTTTGGGTGGTTAACGGACCTTTAGACTCAAGAGGAAAATTGCAGAAATTGCAGCAGGTCTCCAGTTCTTGTTTTCTTCTTCGCGTTTGCGAGTGGGGTCTCGCGTTCGCTAAGAGGAGCTGGGGCAGGTGGGAGCTTAACGCTTCGCGTTCGTGATGTTCGTCCCGCGTTCGCGAAGCTGAGAGGTCATATGCCTACGCGTTCGCGAAGAAGGTCCCGCGTTCGCGTAGAAGGGAGAGAGTTGCTACCGCGTTCGCGATGAAGGAATTCTGGGACAAGCCAAGTTATGCTTTGCGAACGCGATGGGCCTTCCGCGTTCGCGAAGAAGGAATCACCTGGGCAGATTATAAAGTTTCAAAATCGAGGGTTTAGTCATTTTATTCAAAACTAGAGTTTGGGAGCTCGGATTTGAACGAGATTTTGGGGGATTTTCAGAGAGATCAATTGGGTAATGATTCTACACTTAATTTTGGCTATATCCCACTAATCTATCATTAATTTTATCATTTAATTTTGAATTTGGGGTAAAAAATTGGGAAAAATGGAACAGAGTTCTTCAACTAAGATTTCGGGTTTTTATTGGGAATTTGACATCGAATTTGGATAATTTTTGTACGAGTAAACTCTTGAGCGAATGGGGGTTCATAATTCGTAACTTTTACCCGATTCCGAGACGTGGGCCCTGGGGGCTTTTTGGAAAATTTTCTTAATTTCGCGTGTTAGCTTCGAATTAATTAGTGGAATTAGTTACTTGAAGTTATATTTACATTATGTAATTGATTTGAATAGATTTGAGCCATAGCAGTCGGGTACTCATGCAAGAACGCGATTTCGAGTTGATTGAGTTGGTTCGAGGAAAGTGGCTTGCCTAACCTTGTGTGGGGGAACTCCCCTTAGGATTTGGCATTGTTGTTATATGAGTGTCGTGTATGTGAGGTGACGAGTGCTTACACATGCTAATTGTTGAAAATCCCATTTTTTCTTAAGTTAATACCATATTTTCTTGTAGTTTAACAAATACTTGTACTTGAATCCTCTTGTTTAGATTAGGAAAAACATGCTTACGTGACTTAATTGTCTTACCTGCCTTAATTGCCTACTTGTGCTCTGTGCAGCATGTTAGAGTAGAAATTTTCTGTTTAATTCTTGAATAGAACTATATATTCTTCTGAGATGGTTGTGTGTTTACTTTGGGACAACGGGGCGATATCCCAGGAGATCCCCCTACTTGTTTACTTTGGGACTACGAATCGGTATTCCGGTAGATCCCCCTGCACATTTATGATTGGGACTACGGGACAACACCTGGTAGATTTCTCGTACTGGATATTTACTTTGGGACTATGGATTGGTATTCCGGGAGTTTTCCTTGTACCTTTATGATTTGGACTACGGGACAATATCCCGGGAGATCCTCTGAGCATTTACGTTTGGAACTACGGGACGGTATCCCGGGAGATCTCCTGTTGCTATTTCTGTGTACTGAGTTAGATTCTTTCCTTATTTGTATTCGTTTTAGACTGTTAGCACTTTAATTATATTGTCATATTCTATATTGTTTCACCTTGTTTTTCATCTATAATCAGTAGGGCTCTGACCTTCCTCGTCACTACTCGATCGAGGTTAGGCTTGGCACTTACTGAGTACCGCTGTGGTATACTCATGCCCTTCCTGTGCATGTTTTTCGTGTGCAGATCCAAGTTCATCGGCTCAGCCATACCATCAGTGAGGTGAGGCGATCTTCAGAGACTTTGAGGTATATATGTCGCATCCGCAGACCGAGGAGTCCTCTCTATTCTCCCCTCTAGCTTTAGCTCTCCTGCATTTACTTTTGTTTAGACATTCTGGAGATTAGAACACTTGTAGTCATTCAACAGCTTGTGTTTTCATGAGATTCCGGATTTTGGGAGTTGATTCAATTTGAGAGTTTGTATTCGTATATGCTGAGGGGCATCTTAAATGCTTTATTTATGTTTATTTCGTAGTTTTTGGCTAGTTTTTATCTTTCATTTTTTTTCCGCAAATCGTTTGGCTTACCTAGTCGTAGAGACTAGGTGCCGTCACGACAGTTCACGGAGGGCGAACTTGGGTCGTGACATGGGTATGCTTGAAATTGGTTGAAAATCCTAAACGAGGCTATATACAAAATTTGAGCAAGACTAGAAGTGATTTAGACTGGTTTCAGGCAAAAAATCACACCTAAAAATCCAACTGCGACATGTGTATATCACGTTGTATATCGTGTACATTAATATATATCACACACAAGTTTTAAGGACGTCTGTGTATATCACAGTGTATATCGGTATACAACATAATTTCTTTATGGACCCCTGTATATATCACATTGTATATCGTATATATAACACAAATTTTCATGGATATACATAGATACACATAATATACATGAGATATCCCGGGAGATCCTCTAGACATTTATGTTTGGGACTACGGGACGGTATTCCAAGAGATCCCCTGTTGCTATTTCTGTGTACTGAGTTAGATTATTTTCATATTTTTATTCATTATAGATTGTTAGCACTTTAATTATATTGTCGTATTCTATATTGTTTCACCTTGTTTTTCATCTATAATCAGTAGAGACCTGACCTTCCTCGTCACTACTCGACCGAGGTTAGGCTTGGCACTTACTGAGTACCGTTGTGGTGTACTCATGCCCTTCCTGCGCATGTTTTTCGTGTGCAGATCCAAGTTCATCTGCTCAGCCATACCATCAGTGAGGTGAGGCGATCTTCAAAGACTTCGAGGCATATATGTCGCGTCCACAGACCGAGGAGTCCTCTCTATTCTCCCCTCTAGCTTTAGCTCTCCTGTATTTACTTT